CGGCCCTGGGGAGGGCGAATGCCCGTTTGGTCTTTCTGTTTGGTTCTTCCCTTTCTTTTTCACTCCGAGCTTCCCAAGCTGTAGAGGCTCCGCTCCGACAGCACCAGCCCACACAAGCTTGGAAAGGCCGTGACTCTACAGAAATAGGCGTTACCACCCCAAATTCACCCACCCAGATTTTTTTTTTTGGCCAGTTTTGGAAGCAGAATTAGACCAGAGATGAATTTTTTTTTCCGCCTCCACAAAGTTTTGACTTAAACCAACTCTTCTTTTGTGTCTTCACGTCAGTGACGATCTCAGCAGGCGCTGCCTATTGCCGCGGTGAAATTTGTCACTGGGTACAATGAAATGTGGAGGAAAAACGCTCCTGGAAGACAGGTATCTTTACAAAGGACGGAATATTTATTACCAATACCTTTAAAAAAAGATTACATCTGCTAGATCACTGATAAATATCATTTACACTGGGGAGAAAACTACAGAAGCTTTTTTTTTTTGTTCCATTTTTCTTGGTTTTGTGTTTTTTTTTGGGTTTGTTTTTTTTTTTTTTTACATAGAAGTAACCATATCAAACTAAGAAAGGAACACAGCTTGAAATACTGACAATATTTCTCTGGTCAACACCCCTGACTTTTACACAAGTGGAATCCTGATTATGAGTTACTGAATAAATATATTAGAAGGTCTAAAAGTTAACTGTATTATTTTGTAAGCAAAAAAGACAAGTTACAGGCAAATTCAAGCTATCAGGAAAAAAAAATAATAAACCACTGCAGCGCATTTAAACTTGAAAATTTTATAGAAAATTCCGTTGCCTTTGACTAGCGTTATCCCATCTGAGTGAACTTACAAAATTACCCCGTAGTAACAAACAGTCCTTCTCTTAAGAAGAATTATTTTGCTGTGGATATTGTCGTTTTCCGGCGTGACTCTATTTTGCCGTCAGGCGTCTATGAAGAGTTTCTGAAGAAACGCAGGCTTCCTCGCGGAGAACCATCGGGAGGTCCCACCTCCCCGCGGACAACCTGCACCTCCGTGGGAGCCCCGGCTGCCGCGCGGCGCTCCCCGAAGCACGGCACAAGCTCCTCTGAGGCTCTCGGTTCGGACCAGATTTCCTAAGCTTTTCCTACACAGTGGAGTTACGAAGGACGATGAGTTGTGTTCCAGTGCACGTGGAAAGCAAGCGCGTGTTGTTCGTTCGGACAACGAGCCCAGGGCAGCTTGACGTCTCGGAGCTGCTGTATTCTAATTTCCTTGGAATAAAATCCCCCGAAGCGAGGTGGATTTAGCTGGGTCCACACCCCAAGATGAGAACCGCGTCATTCGCTCCTTGGGGTACCTGTCCCTTTTTGTCACTAGAGGCAGAGATCGCACCTTTGCAGCGTCTTCATTCCCACCCAATTTAATGCTAATTATGGTAAAGACAAAGCTATTTCAAGACAGTAAAAATGGACCCTTACTGCATGATGCCAGAATATTAGCTACATGTCCTGTAGTCCACAAACAACCAAAATTCACGTATTTTTCAAGATTATAGTGTTCTTACTGAGTATTTCGAGTTTGTCTTGCTCAGACCTCTGAATAAAATGTAACATCTTGCGTGTTACAAGCACTTGATTTAACGCAAGAATCATCGTAACTGCCATTTAAGCACAGCCGCATTACGAACCGGATCTGGAACAGTTCTGCCTTGCGCAGCCTTGCACTACTGTACAGTGAAGTTGCAGCCAATTTACTAAGAACAACTCTGAACTCTCCGTCATAAAGGAAAAAATTCCAAACAATATTTTCATGATAATGTCGTCCATAGGATTTTATAGCAGAGGAAAAATTAATATCTACATCATATGTTAACTTTAAAAAATTCTATAAAACACTAAATATATAATAAAAATATGCATATAAGGACATATGTAAACTGCTTTGGTAACATCATATTACAGATGTTTTCAGTGCATTGCAGAGTTTCCAAGGAAACTTCAGACAAAGCTATATTTGCTTTGAGGAAGTACTGTATAATGCCATTCCTAAAGAAGCATAAACATTTTTCCAGTAGTAAGATGTACTCAGACCACAATATTACTTAGTACTGGGTGTCTTCAAAACAACTAGCTAAATGTTGCTTATATTATAAACAAGAAGTCCTTTATGTAATTTTTGTCATAAACTGGACCGGGCTGTGAGCGATATCATTATTGTGCTGATGGCCGACAGCGTACAGGCGTTGGAGGTCGAAGAGCCGGATCCTCTTGCGTAAGCATCTGAGCAAAGGAGAGAGGGGGGGGGAGGTGAGTGAGGAGAGCAGCGTGGATGAACCCAAACCTCTCCCCCTGCCCCGATTTTAATTCCGTTTCCTCCGATGAAGCGCGGTGGTGGCGGGAGACGAGGCGGCTCCCGGGAAGGTCGGGCCCCACGCGCAGTCCCCTCCTCCGGCTTCAACAACCTCCTGTTTGCTGGGTTTCGCCTCTCTAACTGAATTTTTGGGTTAACTTAAATTCCTGCCACTGTTGCGTTGAGGCTACTTTCACAATTGAATTACTTCATGGCCTGTTTACTTATTACTTCACTTTTTTTTACATCTGTACTATACTCAAGCTGTTACTTACGGCACCAGCCCGGCACGATCCACGTCCTGGAGGAGCTGCATACCTGCTCTGCGGCCCACTGCGTTGAGCCAAATAGGAACTGGCACGCCTCCCTGCTCTCCTTCGCTCTCCCGTGTCTGCTAATTTTATGCATCTGTATGGTTTATACAGCCACGGAGTACAGCCATGGTGGAGATAATTCTGATCTCGCCCAGGGTTTTTACATTGCTGTAATTTTAATGCCATATTCCTGCATTGCAGAGGCTCCTGATTTAATGCACCTTATAAACTGTGGCATTATTAATGGAAGATGGGACATGGAGATTTTGCAAAAGCAGTGTTGTGTAATAAAATACTCTCTTTTCTGTTTGTTCTTCTACACAACCTCATTTCCCTAAATAAATATTTATGCATCCAACACACAATGGAATATGATTATACAGTAGCCTTATAAATTTAAAAGCCTCTGAACACCGCATTTTGTATTTCGTTATAGTGAATGCGGTGAAACAATATATTCAACATATACATGAGTATGGAAGTAGGAGGGGGGAAGGTGTCTAGAAATCTTAAATACAAATGTAGCTACTTATGATGGCGTTTCTTACGGTTTAATCATGACTCAGGATGAAATCAGAAATACCGGTCCCGGCTTAAGTCTGAGTTTCAGCTCCCTGCCTGGGAGAGGGCCAGACCTGCAGCCTGCCCCCGCTCAGCTTCAAGGCTCTGGTTCACCCCCATTTGGAGATGCGAACAGTGACTGGGGTGAAGCAGGTCTGCCCCGCCAGCGGGTGAGGAGGAGAGGGGCTGGGGGCGCTGGCTTCGGCGGCCAGCAGCAGGAGCGGGCACCGACCCCGGTTCCTCCCATCCTTACTTGATATCTTTGGAATTCGGATTTGTTCGCTGCTGCTGCCGTCGCCCCCGTCGCTGAACGGCTTTATCTCTATGATGTAGTCCTCGTCGAACGGCAGGGAGAGCTCCACGGAGGTTTTATTCGTTTCTATTACGGACGTGCTGCTCTGCCTGTTCCACCTGTACAAAACCTGCAGCAAAGGGGAGCGAGAAGAGGAGGCAGAAACGGCAGAGGTGTCCGTTGCCCCAAGGGCGGCCAGACTTCCTGCTGCTCATCCCCTGCCTCTGATGCCCAGACACAGGCTGTGGTCACAGAGGGGCTATTCGGACCCCCCCCCAGGGTTTTTTTGCTGGGGTTTTTGCTGGGGTGATGGTGCCCAGGCGGGGAGGTGACACTGGGAGGAGGGCGATGCCGACGCGCAGCACCAAACGCGGCCCTGGTACCCGGCAGAGCCCCTCAGCGAAATCTTTCGCTTGATCAAGCTAAAATAAATGCCAAGGCTTACGCAGACAGGCCAAAACTTCTTACTACGTTTCTTCAGGAAACTGAGTTGGGGTAATCGATGCAGTGCCACAAACGGCTTCCCAGAATAAATGGCTTTTTTGAATTACTTCTAAGATCTGGGAATTCTACTAATTTTGATCATAAATTGTGATATAAAATATAAGATTTTCCAGGAAAAAAGAAGAAAAATTGGAAATGTTTTGCTATGATTCAGGAAACAAAGCAATCTGGCTGTGTTATCCTAACAGTAAGTTAAAAGAGGACTTTGTAGAAAACCGATAGATGGCAGTTTGCTTTTTCAGGGTGACGCGTCTCTCTCACCCTCTTTCAATTGACTTCTTAATTTGCATTTCAAACCTAAAATATGTAGTGGAACATCCAAACTGCTGATGTTCATCTGAGGTTTTGACTAAAAACCCTGAGGAATTACTTATTTTTGATAATCCGATACAGTGCACCAAAGATACTTAAAAGTTAGTGCAGAAATTCAGGAGAGCTGGCACAGGCTCGTAAAGCTGACGCCGCTGGCATTCCAGATTGTGAACAAAATATGAAGCGTGCCCGGGTTCTTAATCGTTTCAAGCTCTGGTGCAAGACGTTTGCACAATTCAACCCTCAAGGCAATAATGGCTGGCAACTGCACACCGATGTCTTCTTTGGGCCAAATTAAACCCTTGTGTAAGGTGACAGAGCTGAATTCTTCCCAAGATTTCTCTCTAGTTAAATTATACCCTATTAAAACTGCCACTAATGAGGATTCTCTTTCTTTTCCTTTTGGCTTTGCTTTCTGAAGAAAATGGGAGCTATTAAAAAAGCATTTTATTTATCTGCAATTAAGGAGTCAACTACAGCCTTTGAAAGGTTTCCACCAAAGGCAAGAGAGCAGTCCCGCAGGTGGGAGCTTCAGAGGGAAGGAGCCGATGAAGGTCCGTGGGCTGAGCCCCGCACGGGTGCTCGCAGGGGTGAGCATCGCTGGGGCGAGGGCGAGTAGCCAGCAGAACGTGCTCACTCTACACAGGTACGGCCTCTGTTTCTGGAGGAATGCTCCAGTTTTAACCTGGAAAACCATGCAAGTTCCATGAAAAACACCTCGCCCGGTCTTACTATAAACCCCAACTTGACACTGGATTCATGGAAATGTTCCCCACAGCCCAACGCGAGAATCCAGCGACAGCTGAAGCTTAGTGAGGATTCGCTGCAGGACCAGGGGGTGGTGAGGGAGGCGGTGCAGGGCAGTGCTGTCCAGCTGCCTGTGCTGACAAAATACTCACTTTGTAGCCTCTCACTTCTGACTCGTTGTCCAGGGCTTTCACTTGGTCCCAGTTCAGTATGATCTTGGAGTCGGATGAATTCCATATGATGTTCCCGGGGGGCTGACTCGGGGCTATACCAAAATACACACAGCACTGTATTACTAAGGAGCACCGTTTCCCAGCTGGATCCCTCCCAGTACCAGTGAGGCTTCTACCACCATGGCTGAGCGTGCCCAGAGTCCTATTGCTCTGGAAAGCTAATGAGCTGTTTCACTGATCTGTGTCCTCAAGGTCACAGGAGGTGTGACACAACACTGTGCTCTAAATGAAAAAAGGATTCAGTCAGTTGCTCAACATGCCTGAGACCAGAAGAAAAAAGCCCTCTTGAATGATGAGATAAATATTTAATTTTCCTGCACAGCTGTGATTTCAGTTTTGCATGCTCTGCTTACTTAACACGGGGAAGAGCCTTACAATAAAACCAAAGGCTGGTAAGCCTTCTGCACAAAAACCCAGCAAAGAAAAGTCTGACAGCTCCTTCAGACTCGAGAAAGCTTGAAAATGAGAGAGGGGAGCGCTGGCAGAAACCCTCGCAGTCAAGAGCCCCCTGTCCTCACAAACACTCACGTGGCTTTTTGGTTGTGACGTTGACTGCGGCACTGGAGGGGCCGGTCCCAGCCGTGTTGTACGCCCTGACTGCCAAGTGATACAGCACGTTGCCTCTCAGGTTGCTGACTTTTGTAGACGTTTGATTGCCAACTGTTCGAATCCTTTTTGCGTTTTCTTCCTTTTCGTCGTGTCTCCAACATCTGACCTGAGAAGCAGAGCAGGTACGTGCTTACCTCCAGCTACAGGCTGGCAGCACCCGGTCGTTTCCAGCGCTAACTCTGGCACTTCTGCCCAAAGTGCAGGTGCCACAGGGACAGATCCTGCACCCTGTTACAATCCCTTCTTGTTCCTTGCTGGAAACCAGCCTGGCTGCAGCGCTCCCTCCCCAGGACCTCAGACATTGCCCGGCCCCAGAAGCACATTCACACAGGTTTCCCCCAGCAAGCTCTGCTCTCCATTTTCAGCCAGATCACACACAGAAAGATGTATAATTGTGTACCGTGTGAGAGAAACCTCCACGTACCGGAGACAAAAGGAAGCAAATACGCCACAGGAACCCACCCGCCCCACGGCAGGCAGGAGCAGCACCGCAATGACTGCCCATGAGGTATCTCCACGTCTCCTCAACGCTTAGTACTGAAAGGATGCTGTGTTGTGTTCCCATACCTCATATCCCTGTATTCTTCCTTTGTGCTGGTTCTCCCGAGGGGGAGCCCAAGAAACTTCAACGTCTGAGGCAGAAAGACTTCTGGCCAAAACAGTGGTTGGGGCTCTCGTTGGCTCTGGGTAGAGGAGTTAAAAATAAAATTAAGAGTTTTCAATTCTATGTTCAATTAGTCCCAAACTTCAAGGGATTTATTTTCTTCATTGCATGAGAGAAGAGGCATGCCACCAAAACAAACTTCCACATTTCAAAACGATGGCCTGTCAGCCTGTGCCAGATGGCACCGCTCCTCTGCCTGAGAAATAATAAGATGTCATTACTAAACTCAACCCTGGATACCATGTACGGTAATTAGGACAAGAGGGAACACTTTCTAATCAGTGGACATTAATTCATACTAAATCTCAGCGGAATTCTTTCCAGATTACATATTACTTTTCCATTAATATCAAAAGATTTCATTACGATTAATGTTATTTTAATGACTATCAAAAGAATTAATCATGGCTTGCCATTTATTATAAATCAGAGCAAGGATTAGGTATCAAAGGATGTGTCAAGGTGGATACTAAACCCTTTCAGACCCAGTCAACCTCCCCGCGTCCACCGGCAGGGAGGAGGGAGAGGCGGTGGGGTGGGCTCCTGTCTCTACCTTCCTCTGCCGAGTAGACGACCGTCACGGGGCTGAACGACCCTTCCCCCTTGTTGTTGTACACCCCCACTTTAACTTCGTAGGGGGAGAAGGGCGGCAAGGTCTCGTTGCGGAAGACGTATCTGGCGGCGTCCGGGGAGGCCACGACAGTCTGCATCCAGCTGACGGTGCCGAAGGGGCGGAAGGCCACCACGTACCCGAAGCCGCCTCCGTTCTGCAGCTCCTCGGGCACTGTCTGTGGGCAGGCAGACCATGGGAGAAACAGCACTTTCAGCAATGGCACGCACTTATCTCTCTGTCTGCATGTTGGCTATTGCTCTCGGTCCTTCTAAAGCTACTGTCCTAAATAGAGCATTAGAGACGGGAGGCAGCTGGAGTCCTGCTTCACATCTAACCTGAATTCATCCCACCCTGACTGTGCTAGAGCCTTGCTGCTCCGTCAGCTCCCTGTAGTCAGGGGGAAAGCAGCACCTCCTGAAGACACTTCGCCTAAAACTTAATTCATCTTCGTAGGCTCCCACCCTCCTTCACCGACTAGATGGAGCCTCCAGGAACGATGTGAGTAATTTTAGGCACTCCAATGACTAAGAGGCTGTTTGGTGGGGTGAACCAAGGACATGGTTCCTGCTTTCCCAGTACATGTGCAGCTGCTCTCACGTCTTTGGAATCGCACGTGAAGCCCTGAAGAATGTATCCTGGCAATGTCCCAGCCAGCACGGGGCTGGTGATCCCTCGCTGGCCCGTTGCTACACGGTGACCCAGACCAGGTCAGCCAACTATCCACATCCCGTATGACGTGACCTGTTAGGGACCGTGATGGCAGGGAGTGACTTGTCGCAAACGTGATGGAGAAGGGCAGGTAAGTGCTAGGTAACAGCTAGAAGAAACAACCTGTCACCTCCAGGTCGCTTCTGGACACGCTGACACTTCCAACTCTCAGGCTTGCAGCCCCATAAAAGCTGCATCAAAACCCAAAGCTTCAATGTATTAAAATAATCCATAATTTCGGGCCACTCTCCCACAGATGTCCATGGTGCTTAAGCATGTGCAGGAGTTACTTTTGGTGACTTCTTACTCTGTATTGTAAGGCTCAAAAAATACACCAGACCATAAAGAAAAGGCCTCTGGACATTTAAAAGGGTAAACTGACTGTTCTATCAAAATACAAATTGTATTTTGTGCAAATTACGACTCAAAGTCACAGCTGATGTTCTTGCCATGTGTGTTTTTGAAACATATTGCAGTATCTTTAGGAGACATGGCATGGCTAATTAGTCCAACGGAGGAGCAGATTTAGCACATTGACCTGTGTGGTAAGGACAAAAACCCATTTATAGTTTTTTAATAAACTTAAAAATATATCTGGCGATTCATTCTGCCAGCTTGGTCAGAAATAGTGCTAAATGGAAGTGTTAGCATGTCTACTGAAGTTCATTATTAGGAAAAATATGCCAGCTGCATCGCATCATAACATGAAAATATGAGCAGACAAATGACTAAAGTTCTAACCCTGGTTGCCTTAAGGAATATTAAACATTTTTCATCTCTGTATCTCCTCTTGCTGGCTTTCATTAGCGACAATGAAAGCCAGAATGCAATGCGCTGTGCTAACTCTTAACTATTTGCTGCCATATAACCTGGCGCAGGGATAAGGGCTGAAGGCTAGGAGCCAGCCACAATTCTCAACCAGGTCAGGACGTGCCCAGCCTGGCCTCACAAACTCTGTTTTATCCCTCAGGTGGTTTCTGCCCATCCACGTTTTGCCGTATGCGTACGGATGTGCTGAGTGTCAGGGGGAGCTGAGCTCGTGTCGAAGCAGTGATGTGCAGCCTGCTCCCTGCAGTCCCCTGCACAGCACTTTCTCTGCTGGCCTCCTTGCACAGGGGCCTGGGGTGGAGGACGGGGTGTAGCTCAATTTAAATAGCTGGGCTATTTTATCGCGCAGTCTGGGCTTTTTTACCGCAAACCGTCTGAAATCTACAGGAGCTTCACTGGGGTCTGGGGTGAAAGGGCGCATCTAGATGAGGACCATATTAATTTTCCTCTCGGTTTGGACTCCGCTTACCTCCCAAGTAATGACCAGCTCAGACTTGCTCCCTCCGCCACCACTGACGTTAGCCGGGGTCACTTCAGGAACTGCAAAAAAAGATGCAGAAGGTGCACGTGGCGACTTTGAAACCAGAAAAGCGCATTGAAATGGAACAGACCTACACAGCAACAGGACTCTGCTGGCCTTCCCCTGCTGGGTACCAGAAACGCTATTAGGAAATGACTAATTTGCCACGGCAAACAGCACATTAACAGTATGTCAATAATAGTATATTAAAAGTATGTCAATTAACTTGTGTATTCAGTCACTAATTGTTTAGTTTAAACATTTATCTTCCATAAAAAAGGCTTTTATTTCTTTTTGTATTTCATATTCTGTTCCATTACAGGCTAAAACAGAACAGCGGAACCACCTACCAGGGGCTTCCCATAACCAAGGCACATATCCCTGCAGCCACCACCCTGAGCCTACGCCTTGCCGTGACCCCTTTCTGCCAGATCAAAAGGCAGGGACAACGTCAAGGAGCATTAAAGCTCTCAAGGTTTGTAGCTTGTGCTGAAATCCCTGAACACAGCACTGCTGAAGATCACCGTTAAGGTGTGCCTGCAGCAGCCTGAAGACGCAGCGTGGTTCCAGGAGGCAGTGGTGTGTTTGGGAGAGGGTCGCAGAAGGCAGACTTTCAGTAAGCCCATGAAATGATCCAGCCCATAGGGCAGACCAGGGTAGTTCCTCCAAGGCTGATGGCCCACAGGGACGAGGTCCAAGTTACTCTGAGAACACGGAAGCCCCCGCCATCAAGGGACTGCTGACTCTCCACCTGTGAAGCTCAAACTCCTGCTCTCAAGGTGCTGTAGTCTGTGCTCCAGAGTTTCCATCACATGGGAAACCAGAGGGATTGCTCTCAGAGTTCATCTCTCTCATCAATGGATGCTGGGCATTATGTTCCAAAAAAACCTAAGTAACTTTTTTTGGAAAATCATTGCTTCCTGCAGAAAAAGGGGATTAAGTCTTCCTACACATCCAGGAGTCATGAAGTGAGCAAAAGAGCCCATTAGGAGCTCCACAACTTCTACTGCCTGTTCTGTGCACACAAATAATGTGCCACGAGGGAGGAGAGCAGTGGGCGCAAAAAGCGCTCCTCAGCTTCCCCCAGTGCAACACATCCATTAGCACCGACGAGCACTTAGTCTGCAAGACTTAACTTGGTTGCCCACCACTACTTACGAGCTTCTTCAGTTCTTCTCTTCTCTGAAGGTCTGCTGGGTTCTCCAATCCCAATCAGGTTGGCAGCCACTACTCGAAATTCATACTCGACCCAAGGGTTCAAACCCACCACTGTCGCTGTGAACGTCCTGCCACTGATGATCTCTGGAACTAGGAGACAGCCACAGGTCAGGAGTGCAACGAAAACCACTAAAAAAGTATTAAAGACTGCTGAGAAAAGGTCATGAGCTGAAAGGGAGGGATTAACATAAATACAAAGTGAATAAGGATTGACAATGGGATTTTTCTAACATTTTGTTAACTGCCAAAGAAGAGGAGACATTAAAACATTGTGCTTTTAGCACAGAAATTCCTGCTATTAAAGAGTTTCTCCTAAATTGTCACTTTTTGAAACCAAAGTGTCAAGACAACAGGTTTAAAGGGTTTTTATTTTTCTCTTTTTAAAACACAGTGTTCCCTCTATTTAATGGTTACTGGAACAAAATTAACCTCTGACGGAATGAACAATTACATCATGGGATTTTTCCCTCTATCGGGAAAATAATTCTACTTAAAGATAGGCCAGATGACACAGTCTGTCCCTGAGGGATGTCTTTATAGACCACAATTACTGTTGTATATCTCCAGCGCGGCAACAAAAGATAGGAATTCATTCTGTTTTCTCTTAAACATTCATGAGAAAAATGGATGAGTAATAGCACTGACTGGACCCTAAATCTTTGGGTTGCCAAACTTGAAACTAGTTAATAAGACCAGTGCTCTGCAGCCAGTGAAATTACTGTTCACTTCAGGGTGCAGAGCTGCTCCACTCAGCCCGTGTGTGGGTCCCGATGGATGCATCTTCCATCGGCGGAGCTCTTCGGGGGCCAGGCGATGGACCTACCTGTGCTCACTGCTTGCCATCCCACCGAGAAGGGGGTCCTTGCTTGTACGACATACATTGTAATAGGGCTGTGGTTGTCTGCTCCTGGCCTCCAGGACAGCTGAGCGGTGCTGTCGGTGATTTCATCTATTGTCACAGCTTCTGGTGGACCTGGGGGACCTGTTGGAAGAATTACAGGAGAGGGGTGCTTGGAGCTTTGCGGTGACTTGAGGAAGGAGCGCTCTGGTCTTCTTCCCTTACTCAGGACAGAGGTAATTGAGTCCCGGCGGAGCAGTTAACTGCAGCCCCAGCTGTGGTTTAGCAGCTCTTATTGCCTAGATGAGATTGGGAGGCATGCGGGAGATAGACAAACACACAGACCACCAGCTTCACCCACAGCCCCCAGGTGCCTCCACGTGAGCAGCAGCGCCGAGCCCCGCAGCATGCCTGAGCTACCCGACAGAGCAAGGCACTCGCTGCAGCGCTCGGGATCAGCTCTGCCATCTCACGTCTGCTGCATTAGGACTGGCCTATGTACAAGTACGACTTCTGGCTGCAGCTTGGATGCACCCAGAGGCTGGTGAAGAATGACGGACCTGCCCGTTATTAGCATCGTGTCCGAGTGTGGACCAGTATTTTCTGTTTCACTGCTGAGTTCCTTTTAACCAGTAAAGCACTGTAGGACATACTGATCGGAGAGAGGACACCTCTCCTGTATCATATGGCCATTGCTGTCAGTAGTGGTACCTGAGGTGAAGTCTCTCCCCAAAGCCACCATCTCAAGCAAACTCTCCTCTTGCAATTCACTCTTTGGACTAAAATCATTCTCATATGATATTCAGAGAGCTGGACATGTTTAAATAGCTAAAATGCCCTGAAACCTTCCAATATCCTGTCTTTAAAATGAAAGTTTCAGCAGGTCTAGCCAGATTTAATTTCTCAGAAATTAGAACTTTAAATTGTTTTGCTGGGGGGAGTAGCCACGCAACGCAGCCTCATGGAGCAGTCAGCTCCTTTGGTCCCCCACTGCAAGTTACGCCAGAGAAATGAAATTTCACTGGATCTGTCACAAATTACTCCTACTGCTTGGCAGAGGCTGAAACAAACTGTCTTCACTTCATGTCTTGGAATAACCATGGTTATTCCCAACATTTCAGAATATACTTTTTCGCAGGGTGCAGGCTACAGTAGGGCAAGAGAGGGAAAAATTATCAGTTACCGATTTACTAAACGTTTTTGGGCTGCTGACAGACACATGCTTCTCCTGTTCTGATGGCATGAAAAAATCCCATCATGAACAAGTGGGCTGATCTGTGTGTACCAGTGCCAGGGGTTACTTCTGTATGCTCTTGTTTGATATTCCCTGAGATAAATAATTGATTTTTATTCTACTATCTAATCTCTTATTATTTTGACATAACTCCAATATTTAAAAAACATTTCAACATTACTCTGAAGGCTCTATTTATGCACCAGCTACTCACCTCCCCCTCCAATCTCCCAGCCTAGGGATATTTCCCAATTTTTATGCAGTCGGTGAGATGGGACAGCGCAACTCTCAGTGCAGCCGTGGAACCACTGGCCTGGATAGAGACTTCCCCGTTGATGTTTTTAGGGAGCGGCAAGATCAGTATTTTTTACCATCGTCAAGGGTCATTTTCTTGTGAGAATTTAATGTTCCTCCTGTTTGTTTACAGAGCCAGCACTAAGGAAATTACCTAACCGAGGCACCCATCAGCAGGCTGTTTTGAAATGTTTGTGCAAAACGAAAAAAGCATTCATCTGAAATCATGCTGCACAAAAACCCGAGAGTCAGTGTAAGGGGGAGCAACCTCCCGGGGAGGAGAGCAGTGGCTTCGCCGCCTCCAGCGGCCCAGCTCTTTGTACAGCACATGGCTAAGAACGTCTGTGTTCATACTCCAATGGGCAAAACGTGGTAAAAAGCGTAACAATGTTATGAGGATAACAGAAATGCCCAGCTACAGACAAGGGCACATTTCTCAATGGAAGCTCAGATGAATAGATCTTGAAGTATCAGTGAAGCTACTAAACCATGTTTATTCTAGAAATCGAACAATATTGCTGGGCAGAAATGCAGTGAATAAGCTGGATACTGTTTCTGCTGCACAGTTCTTCAAATAAATGAGCTCAGTTGGTGCAAGTTTTGCATTCAGGACACCGACATGTACTAGTGTGTTTATCTGTGCTGCGTGTCTGTTGTATGAGTACGTATATATGAAAGAATCTTTATATGCACTGTTTGAAGACGTACTGTGAACCCCAGCATGTACTTAGAGCTTATTTCTTAGATTAATTACAAGATGCTGGGATCCCAGTGATGTCTCCGAGCCCAGGAATTGTCTCACCAGCAGCAGAAGATAGGAAAAGAAAAAGAAATTTTACAACAACAACAACAGTAACAAAATTCAAATACCTCTTACAATCAGGTCTGCAGCAGCCGATAGCTTGTCCACACTTGTTTGCACCATGCAGACGTATTTCCCAGCATGCTTCAGCTGGATGCTTCTGATCATCAAATCACCAGCTGAATCCTGCTGATAAAGTAGGGAAAAGTGGTTACAATTACTTTTTAATGAGTGCTAAACATCATTATCACATGAAGGACACTGTGACTAATGGATTTACTTTACACTGGCTGATGAAAACATTAGTAATGTAAGCCGTGGCCTATTAAAATTATGTGAGTCTGCCTTGAAGATAAGAGCGGGAGCGTTTCTAAAATTATGGCTCCTACAAGGGGCAGGGGAGCCTGGTTTGGGTCCGTTAAGCAGTTTCCCCATTAAGACAGCGTGAGAAAGCTTATGCAGGGCAGGTTCACTCTGATTCCTCCTTTATCTCTCTGAATATCCAATTTACAGCCTCTTTGGTATTCAGATGCCCAAGTTGTGTCTACATCTATTTCGTAAGTGAAAACCGGCCCAAATTATGAGACATCTGCAATAGTTTCATGGCTTTGTATTACGGCCAGCATTTTGATTGCCTGGCGTTTTTGTGCTAAAGATCATGAGGACAGCACTCTCCGAGGAAATCTTGCATCACCTAACAGTGGTAATTTGTTTTCCAAACACCAAGTGCATGTCTGATTAACTGTTGAATAGAACTAATTAGGTTTCTGTATGTATAGGAAGCTGAAAACTCTCTCTAAATTTTTCTCCAGACACAAAGCATTCGATACATTAGAAATCTCAGGGTAACCTTGTGATTGTGGCTGACTGAAGAATATTAATAAAGTTTGCAATTCTAGCTTTGCAGGCCTATCAGGCGCAGTCGCCGGGAAAAGCCATCGCTACTGATGTGCGCCCTAGGCATCAATCTTTAAGTGCATCTTTTAATTTTTTTTAGGGATAACAGCAAGGCTTGTAAATTGTATTTCCTTTTCCTTTCAGCATTAAATTTCACTCCTGACAAATGTAAACACGGATTGCCAGTCTGCCTGAAACCCAGAGGAGCACGTGTCTCTCTAAAACCTCCCTTAGAGCAACATGCAAAACCCTTTCCAGTTTTCTACCGCTGCTGAAAATTTGTTGCATTTCTTTACCTTCTTCCAATGAAAGTGGAATAAAATTCATCAGGAAGGATGAGAAAGTTTTTAAATTGCAAATAAATTAGAAATTAAACTCCCCAAGTCCTGCCTCATATGCAACAGGCTAAATTAGATGAAGTCTGAACTGCGAAGGAAAGTTATGGTTACAAAGGGAAGCTAACTTTTTACCCATCTTTCAGACATAGCCTGTGAAATTGCTGCTCCTCTTTTAGTAAAAGTTATTTGGAAATCATTTTTAGTCAGAAGAATGGCATGAGAAGCTGGGGCAGGTCTGACAGACGTGTTATCTCCTCGTGTGAACCCCCTTCCTAACAGATGGCGTCCTGAGGTACCTCCTATAGCACTGACCCTCTCCGATTCCCAAAATTCATGCCACAATATCTTCAGGAAATCTAAAACTACTAGAAAAGCTGAAACAATCTGCCCTTTACAACTGAGGTAAAAGCAGAGAAAATCAAGCAGGGAAGGACCATCACAGGTACCCTTACCTTCCTGGAGAGGCAGAAAATGGCAAGTGACCCAAGCAGATTTTCTCCTCTCCTAACGAAGAAAGTAATTTCTACCTTCACTACATTTTCTTCCCCATTCCTGCCACTTGATCACAGTCTTGAGCGACAGCGGTGGCCAGGGCTGTATTTAGTGGGCAGTCTAACCATCATTTCACACCTGATTCTTCTCCTAGCTATCGGATTTCCATGACCATGATCTTTTCGACCTTCAAACAAACAATTCTCTGGACATTGCAAAAGTTTGCATTGTCAGTGGGTACTGACTGGCTTTCCCATAAACAACCAACCAACCCGAAGATACCTAACGTGACATTGCCAGGAAACGTGCACAGATAACACTGAAAAGAAATGTCATCTCCGACCGTCGGTGACGTTTGTAATACTATGCAGGTTATTTTGTGTAGAGGAAAAATACCACTAAGCATGTGGTCACAAGAGGAGGACACAGATGGAGGCAGATAAACATGCCAACAAACACTGCCTGGACAAATTTGAGGGTATCATCTGATTTCCTGCTATTTTCTGTATAAATACAAAGTTCTACGATTGTTATATTTTAGATTTCTTCTACTGTTACAGTCAGACAAAAACTATTATGGACTTTTTCCTTGAATGAGAAGGCAGTTTTTTGCAATGAGAAAACATTATAGGTCTTCTGACATACATGCCACTGCAATGTGAACGCATCGTTCATGCAAGCAGATTTAAGTCATGTCATTAAGCAATTATAACAATTCTGCACCAACTGTAAAGAAATAGTATACTGGCAATGTTTGTCTTCTCAGTCCATAAGACACGAGATAACGACTCCTACTGTTAACTTAGTCAAATCTATTCCTTTTATTAGTAGCCCTTTTCTATGTTATCTACTTTTACTACTGTGAGGAGATTGCTTTAGTATTAATACTTACCCCTCCAACTCTTTCGAAGTGATCCCCATCTTTTTCAAAGTCTATCAGGTGTCCATTAAATGACCAGGTAAACATGATATCTAGCGAGTGATCATGAGACACCTGACAAGGCAAGACAATGCTTTCTCCAACAGTGACATCCATGCTGAAAGGTGACACCATAACCCGGGTTGCATCTATAAACAACAAAGAAAACAAAGGGGGGGGGGGGAAGCATTAATCCTGTCCTCCTGTGAAATGGAGAGAGATGTAGAACTGAAAAGGATCCCAAGCAGTCTACTACAACCGCAGCATTGCCACCAGAACTTGAAAAATTTGCAGTGATCACTTAGGAAGATCCTTAATGCAATGAGTGAACTATCACATCTTTGATTTTATCCTCTGATACCTTTCTCTTTTCATTAGACTGAAACACCATTAATAAAGCCTCCAGAATCTTCTTCTAGCCACAATCCAGATGAGCAAGGAGAAAAGAAAAGGCTGGAAAAGAGTGTAGCAGATCTCAAAGGCTGGGTTAAAATTTTTGAAAGAGCTTGGAGAACAGAGATTATTTTATTTGAATCTTCTTACTCCAAAAATTTGTTTCACAGTCATAACTTGGTCACCATGGTTATAAAAAAATCTGTTCTATTGTTCGTATATTAAACGGTGCCTTGAGAAAACTTTCTCAATGTAAAATCTCCAAAACTGGAATGAAGAAGGGTATATTAAGAACATAAGTGATACCTGCTTGGATCTGGAAAGGGAAAGATTAGACTAACGTTATTGTTGTAGGTTATGTTTATTGAAAACTCGGTGTTTGTTTAGAATACTGGCCATGTTCTCTGCCTGATGGATGGTTTTACATTTTAAATCCAGGTAGTTTTCTTTGCGTAAGGAGGGCCCACACAAAGAATAAGTATAAATAATGAGTGATACCAACCAAACTTTTCACACCATGGAAACCAAAACTCTGCCGCAACAAGCCAAGTCCTGTAGTGATGTCAGACAGAGGGGTTTTGGGGTAAGACGCGGCTCTGGGTGTAGTAACTCCTCTGCCTGACGTGCAGCTGATTTGGGTTAGTCAGTAGGTCAGACTGACTCACTTTTTAGGACTTCTCTGGTCTTACAAGAGATGTCATTGACCTTTGGTGGATGATTGAGAGGGGTCCTGCCATAACAAACTTGTTATGGCGAGCAAGAACTGAGTAAACATTTTGGGGAGGTAAAGCAGAAGAAAGGTGAGAAAGAGCACCGTCCTAAACATGACATTTGCAAAGGAAAGCCCCAAAACCTGTGGATGTCTGTGATGTAGCAAGTTCTGTCTGTTAAATATGGGCAGCAGCATGTACCAGCTCCACCTTGAGCTTCTGGACTAATCCCTTATTCACAGCTGGGGTTCACATGGATCCTTTACCACTGGTTTAATTATCTATTTTTCACTTTAGTCGCGCAGTACGAACAAAATGGTGGTGCAGAAAGACGAGCCATGACACATTATGCAGACTTCAGCTCCTCATCTGTGCCCGTGAATTCCCTCTGCCTCTAAAGTTAACATTTGTCTTTCATTTCTGTTGACAAAAATGCCGTAATTTTTTTCTACAGGGCCTCAGAGGAAATGAAAAGGAGAAAAAATATTGCTTAACAATGAGACCAAAAGTCTGAAAATCCTATACAGATAGATATTTTTGCTTATTCCAAAAGTCTGTTCTGCACAGCTGTCATGCTAAAATACTACAGGCATTATTCATGCTCTGGCATATGAAACCAAAATCTTAACTACTTCCATAGACTATTGCCGGACTGCTTAATTCTCTGCTAAAATAATGATACAGCAACAAAGATATGTACCGGGCAGAACTACTCACCAAAATTCAGGGGATGCGAAGCTGTTCCTGGGTTTTCAAAGACCTTACCAAAAGTGTACAGGAGGTAGCAGAAAATATTTCATCACTGACTTGAATGAGCTTCAGATCAAGTCCCTGATGTATTACCTTGAACAAATTTAATTCATCTGTGTTTTGGTTTCACTTCTAACAAAACAGAGTACTCTTAGAGAACCACAGTAGGTATTATGAGGCTTAACTAATTAATAAAAGTAAAACATTTTAAGTTTCTCAGGAGAAAAGCAGTCTAAGTGCAAGTTGCTAAAATAATGTTTAATTCTTGCCTAGACTTATGACATTGTTTTTGATTATAACTGATGTATCAGGATTTTACAGTCACTTGGGACTGCTACTACTGAAACTCAAGAAGACCTGGAGCATCCCAAGCTCAGGATGCTACAGAAATGCCCGCACCTGCAGTGGGGCTCAGGCACAGAATCACTTACTGAAATGCCTTTCAGCATCAGAAGTTCATCCTCTGCCCTGCTCAAAGCCCGTATGAAATATTTATGAAGGACTAGACTCTGAGATGAAATGGGTGCCTCCCACAAAGCCCCGAGCTCTCCTACATGAGTCCCGTAATGATCCGTGTAAGCTGTGGTCCTTAACAAGTGTCAGCACTGAGGTTTTGCTGTAGCTAACCCTTGCCTCCACAGCACTTTCTGCAAGAGGCGTGAAGTCCACACTATAAATCTAGTTCTTCCTGCTGCAATGCATACAGTTTATAAACATATAAAGAACGAAACATGGGTGTTTGCTAAAGACCTGCTTTCCAAAGCAGCTTCACACAGCTCCTGTGGACATCATAGGAACTGCAAGTGCCCGGTGCCTCCGAAAATCAGCCCCCTCCAGGTTTCAATCCAATCATGTCAAGAAGCACTGCAATCTAACAACTGAACATACCAGGTCATGGGAATGGCTGATACAGCTTGGTGACAAACGATGCGCAGGGAGGGCTCTGACCCAAGCCATGCTCAGCAGGAGCGCAAGCCCCAGCAATGCACTTTACAAATCACCCCAAGGAGAATGCTTACCCATCTCTTCTCAAGGACTGGGAAAGCTGAAAAACAAAACCGTCCCCACCCCCCCTTTAATAGCCCTAGCAGAGCAGCAAATGGAAAATGTTATTCAGAAGCCAACTGAGGGCAGCCGAGTGTAGGAACACCTTGGCGATACACAGCCAAGTGGTAATCAAAATCATTAGATTTGCATTTTCAAAACCTGTAACATCAGGCACTTTTTAAACTATGGCGAGTGCTTTAATGATACCAAAATCGTGTTGGCTAGTATCCAGGTCAAAAATAAAAAAAACAATGACTATTTTTTTCTGAGCTAGCTACTCATTTATTTATTGTCCACTTGCAAGGCGAGAGGCAGTCTAGGGAAACAGATACTATGGGAGAAGTGATCTTAATGCTCTGTTACTGTCCTGTCCCCCCTAAGTGCAGGTTATTTTCCTTAGATGTCTTTGCTTAGTAAGGGCACACTATTGCCAAGGACAGTTAATTAAAAAATAATTGTTATTTTGCTGATATTTTGAGATGATATTCACCTTTAGAGTGCTCTGGTGCATTCTGAGATAGTTTTAAAAATAAGGCTGAAAGATTCAGTTGCAGATAAGGGGTAAGAATTTCTATTACTAGCATCACCCCTTACAGCTGCCTGCAGGTTTCTGAGCCCTCCACAGAGGGAAGCAGCGCCTGGTACTTCCCAGCTCTTCTGCAGAAAGAATAGACAAAAAGCAAGCAAAATTGTTCCGGGTCACTTCTGAGAAAGTTCATCTGGCATTACTGAGAAGTTTTTAGAGGAGAAATAAGTGAATAGCGCATGCCAGCAGGAACATTCTCAGGGGATGAAAAGCCCTCTGTCATCAGAGATAAAATAATCTGGCTTTTAGTGTCAAATAGGAAACAGGAAAAAAAAATAACTACACTGTACATGCAAACATATTCAGTAGGTGTCCTGTAGGCATAGCAAATGCAGTGACAGCAGATGTGAGGGAGTTTACATTGGCCTGGGCTTGGCTTTGCTACAGAGAAAGAGGAGACCTTTCCTGCACAGCCCTGAGAGGGGCAGGAGCAAGGCAGGGCTTATGGCGTGTGGTACCCTCCGCAGACTGGTTAGTGGTTGTCTGTAGGTGTCACTGAAGGCTCAGGGAAGCAGGAAAGCTCCCTCTCAGCCTTCCTTTCACGCCGGCATTTTCAGGAGCACACTTTTTGTGTGACAGAAACAGTGCTTTTCCGTTTTACATGCAGTTTTCCTTGCATGCCAGCCAGGCTGGCAGCTCCCGGAGTGGGTCAGCTTGCAGCTTGTTGTCACAGCCGAGATGGTTTGAGCAGCGTGAAAGCTCACGGGGATGGTCCTCAGCTGGAGCAAACCCACACGGCCACACCGTGACAGCTCTGGACGCCACCGCCATCGGCCCCGGCCTCCCTAGTGGGGTGCACAGAGGCTATCTGAGCTTTTCTTACCTATTTTTGTCCTGTGTTACATCCCTTAGTTCTATTGCTGCAGCATATTGCAGAGAATTTGGTGTATTTCTGCCCGATTTATTTTATTTGGTTTATATTACAAGAGATTTTAACTAAGTTTTCTTGCTAGCTTTCAGTTTGTTAGAAGAAACGGAGCTGAGCAGCACTTCCCATCTGTAGGAAGGCTGTAATTGCTTCGCTTTGTCCCTTGTCCCTTGTTAAAGGGAACCTGTCATTAGCTGTTAGTGCCGCCTGCTTTCGCATCTCATTTCGGGAAGCTGTGATGCATTTCCGAGCTGCAAACCGGCAGGCTGCAGACATCGCGGGTACGGTCTGAGGGTAACAATTATCCCATCTGAAAAGAAACCATCCCACCCTGATTTTCTATTGATTGGGTGTCCATTAGGAGGGATTACTTGTTTAGGGTAAACAGCTTTGCATTGCTGCGTTTGCTTGTTGTAGCTCACGCAGTGCTATGTTGTGTCATATTGATCCGGAGGACATGACACAGTGGGACACAATCTGCCGTGGCACGACGTAAGTGACATAAAATGAATCAGAGACTGACACTCAGAGATAATGCATTTTTTTTTTCAATAGGTCAGTCCAGAGCATGCGAATCTCTTTTGACTGATACAAGAGGACCAGGGGGCAAAACAAGAAGCGACGTCACATATATTGTGCCCATCAGCAAGATTTCAAGTGACCAGAGGGTTTTTTCCACCTAGAGACAGGCAGACCTGTCTGCGTTAAGATGGCTACTTGGCGTCCCGTTTCCAAATGTGCTCCTTTCCAGTTTGGCTCAGCTGCGGAGGCTGTGTGCTCCACTCCGCAGGGAAG